TAATATCGTAAATTTTCATTTTTTACACGAACAATAGTAATTAACCTTTTTAATCATTTCTTCAAATAACTTTAGGATTAGTCACTTTCAATAATAAGGTAAATAGTCCATGAGAACTTTAATTTTCTCATCACTTTATTTATTACTAGTTTGATTCGAACACTTGCATTTTGCATGACAAGCTTTTACTTTTTAGTGTCGTTGTCCCCGATTGTTTTAATTTGTTAGGAAACAAAGTGATACTAGAATCGCTCTGATACCAATTTGTTGAGAACCGAGTCAAATAACTAAAGAACGAAAAAATTAACGCAATATGAGAATAATGGATTATACAAGAATACAATATTTATGTGGTAAAAGAGGAAAATTCCATATGCCATGAAACTAAAATTGTGTTTACAAGATTTGATACTCCCAATTTAAATCTAAACAATTCTATTAAGTTTCTAATGTATGTAACAATGATATAATTGCTACATTGAGTCTATACCTCATAGAGTATATATAGGAGCACAATGTTTAAGTTAGGATGAAGTAGAGCACAAAAACGCGGTAAAAATCAACAAAGAGACCTCTTCAAACTCGTCAGTAGCATCGCGGTGCCACCCTCCCGACGCCAAATTCGGTGCCTCGACATTGGCCTTACTGCTGCCAAAATAGGCTACCAGTACATTGGCGCTGTGACCCCGTGCCCAGTCTTTGTTACAATGATTCCAAAACACTTTTTTATCCATTCCAAAGTTCATTCTCCAATCAAACTCCCAATCCATGATAAAATTTGATCATTTATCAATCCGGACTTCCAAACTAAAATTATCTAGGCTTCCTTCATAAATCAAACTTCTAAATCATATAGAATTTGAGTTATAAACATAAAAAACTTAACATTGACACAAATTCCATAATGAGGAATCAAGTAATCACTCTTCAATTCATTCTCCAACTATTCAACCATGCCCCTTCCAGGCACACCATGCTACTGCCGGGCATACTCAACAACTGTGAACAGAACCCAAGCCATGCTTACCAGCATAACTACTTTCGGTGCTAACCTTGATTGAATTGTCCCATTCATTACCGCTCCAACTGAGTTACCAAATCTACCCGAATCATCACCAGCAACATGATCAACAAGATCACAACCACAAGAAACCTCACAACCAACTCTACTCGAGTTTCCGCTTATCAAACCATAAGTTGGAACTGCTTCATCAGTGATCGTTAAACCTTCCAAAATATATAACTAGGAATTTCTCCATCCCTTTAACACAAACCGACAGTTTTGCTAACTTTTAGAACTCCACCTACACTAGTATACTTGTACACTTTTAAACCCGTGTCTCACTAAACCGACTGTTCCATCAAATATCTTGATTTGACCTTACCAATACCGGCTATTTCATAAGGCTCATTATTTTCATCATCACGGAACCCTTTGTAACCATTTCACATGAAGAAAACCAATTCCGATTAAAACACATATTAAAAGTGCAAGCCGTATCAAGAATTCGATTCTCATCGGATTTGGGTCACCATCAGAAATCAACAAAAGATCTCCTCACTGTAATCTTCTACTGCAATACTAGCATCACCAGAATTTTATACTTGTCCATTCTCATCTGTAATAGCTAACTTATTCCCATTCCGTCACTCATAGCAATCCTTCTTCATATGCCCCTTGTTATTGCAATACCAATAGATTTCATCATTGTTGCTATCCTTGACTTTTCCCTTCCATGACCACATGTCTTTATCTCACAAATAGCAAGACCATCTACTTAGGCCTCAGATCCGACCATATACTTCATATTCTCCTTAGAATAAAGTGCATAATATACCCTTCAATAGTGTGAGTATTTCGATTATAGGGAATAGTATATCTAAAAGTCACATATGAAGGGGCCAACGAAAATATCAACCTTAAATCCTATTCATCGTACTTGACTTCTATAGTATCCAAATCAGTAATGATTTTCTCGAACACCGATATTTCAAAGATCCACCTTCTGTCAAGCAAGAATACAATCGCTGTTTCTAGTGCAACTTACTGATCAAGCCATTTGTCATACAAAGGTGCTCCAATTTCAAGCACAACCCAGCGTCACTTTTCTCTTTTATCACGTCCTGAAGATTTTGACTAGAATGATGAAAATGTATCTATGATAGGGCTTTCCAATCCTTATGTTGTTTCTCCTCTGCTGTCATTGTTTCAGGCATTATATCCATCCCTAACAGAGCATCATTCATTGTTGCGGTCCAATTGAGAAATAAATGCTCGCATCTTGATTTACTATAAAGACTATTTACTATTGCGATCCAAAATAGAAATCTCAAATTTCATAGTTGTCATCCCTCAAATAATCGACCTTGTTCAAACTTTGCTTTAATAATCAATTTGGACCTCCAAAAAAAAAATGGCTCTAATACCAATTGTTAGGAAATAAAGTGATATCAGAATCGCTCTGATACCAATCTATTGAGAATTAGGCCAAATAATTAAAGAAAGAAAAAATAAGGGTAATATAAAAATAATGGATCACACAAGAACATAAAATTTATGTAGAAGAAGATGAGACTTCCATAGACTAAGAAGCTAAAATTGTATTTACAAGATTTGATACTCTCAGACTCTGTTTGATCGCCATTAAAATGAAAATTTGCATTTTACAACAATAGACATGTAATTTAAAAATCACTATTAGTTGTTCAAATGTCAGAGCATTTAAAATGGGTACAAAAGCCGTTGAAAATGATTTGGACTTTAATAACCCAATTCATCATGCACTATTTAACAAAATACCCTCTCTATATTATTAACGTTACACCTTCTCATTTCCTTTACCTTTTGTAGGGTAGTTTGGGAATATGGAAAATTCTTCTGCCTACCTTCAGAAGTCAAAGTTCTTTTCTTGAAAATGTAAACAATCCGACATCGATTGACAGATGGTCCCACCATTGCATCAATTTTTTTTTAGAGAAATCTCATTAGTAGTCCGAAAACCTCTAAAAATGAGATGAAAATGGCCCCCAAACAGGCACTCAATTTTAATCTAAATCATTCTCTCAAGTTTCTAATGCAATAATCTAATTGTTATATTGAGTCTATAAAAAGCCTATACTTTGTGGAGTAAATAAAAAAGTCCAATCTTCCAGTTATGGATGAAGTAGAGAACAAAAACGAAGTAGAAATCAACAAGGAGACCTCTTTAAACCTATCAGTGGCGCCACGACACCACATTTGATTTTGGGGCATTGGCCTTGCTGCCTCCAGAATAGGTTGCGTTACGCCGTCTCCTTCCAAGTGCTTCCGAAGCACCTTTTCATCCATTCCAAAGTCCATTCTCCATCAAAATCTCAATTCATGATGAAATTTGATCCCTTATCAATTTGGACTTCCAAACCAAAATTATCTAGACTTTCTCTATGAATCAAACTTTCAAATTACATGGAACTTGAGTCACAAACATAATATAATTTTTATTTAATATTGACTATGATTAATCAAACTTTATTTTGAAATATAATACATTGTTATTTCTGGTGCCTTGACTAGTGCATGTAAGATTCAACAATCATTGATCTTGAGCCTTTAGTTCTAAAAATTGAATGTACATTCCGAAGGAGATGCAAGGAATAGAAGGAAGCTTCAACTCGGCGTCAAACTAACATGTCCAATGCTACAAAAGTAGTTGGGAGTGCTAGACCTTTAAGTTTAAGGGATTACGTCCTTCTCATTATCAATGGCACTCCCTTAAACATTGACGTCAGATAATTTAGATGAATCACTTTGAAATCAAGCCCGCTATAGTCTAGATAATACAAACTTCACTTTAGTCTTTGTGGATTGTTTGATGTGATCTAAACACCCGTATTGTCGTGAATTTTTAACTCTACAAAGACAACAAAGATGAAGAACAACATCACAACATTTGACATGGAGTAGCACGTATGAGTTGCAGGACTATGAGGATATTCTAAGAAGGTGCCTACATCATAGGTTGTCAAAGTGGTTGCAAGTTCAAACTTTTCCCTATGTGTTGAGTTGAAAGACGTAGACTATGGTTGGTTCAATGGTCAGTGGAGCTAGCTTTGATGGGAAAAATACATTATAAAGCCTACAACTGCAGCATGAGATGGCCTCAAACAATTCTTGGTGGCCCTCGTATTGCCCAATGCTTGCAAGAACTATGAGAATACACAACATTGACGTTATCAAGACTTTAACCATGCATGTGGCAATTTTATCTAAAGGAGATTGTGAGTTATGTAGAGGAAATGGCCAGCTTGAAGACATCAGAGGAAGACCATCATCTCTATCCGGGTAGGGTCCGCCCATTAATTGGTGTTTGGAGACATAGATCCTTGTTCCCCCTATCGACTGATTCTAAGGTTCAAAAAAGGATGTAAAAAAAATCGAGCTAGTGTTGATTGCCAATGGAAAGCTTGTTTGAAATATCCACAGATGAACATGCTAATTTTTTGAATTGTATATGAATACAAAGTAAAAATCGTATTTAAACACTTATAATCATCTTTGGAAAAATTGTTCAAACATTTCATTAAACAACACTCCCAAAATCTTGAAACCACATTCTCAGTTTCAATCTCAAGCGAAGGTGTATTTGAGAGATGTTTTGTCCCAACTAACCATGAACACACCTAAAATCTTGTTTGATAGTGATTAAAAAGTAGAGAAAAGTTGTGAAAATCATAAAATACGTGATTTAAAATAATTTTGGAGAATCGTTGGCAAACAAGCCTTAAGTTTGTGACAAACTCACAAAACTTTGCAAAATCAAGTTGCTTCTATCCAAAAGTTGGATGTTCAAACTGAAACAAATACTAGTTGAATGTCAAATTGAACCAAATAAAAGTTGAATGACCAACACTAAACAAATCTGTAAATTAGGTGACCTACATTGTAATTTCACTGGATTGCCCACCTCCGCGCATTTTAGCCGCTCAACTCTTGAAACCCCACGACAGAAAAACAAGATTTGTTAATGCAAAATTATTTGCTAACACGCCAGTGATCGTAGATCTACCCGTCTCTTTGCAAGCTCAATTGATGGTGAGTTTTCTCTTCAATTTTTTCAGACATATTGGGTATACTCATTTATGTATAATGTAGGTGTATTTTATTAATATGTAATTACGAACATTTTGTTTAAATTGTAGGCGAACACATCGCGATTATATTTAACTTGCATTCGGAACACTCTTGAAGCTGCAATGTGCCTGCAGGTGCGTTAATTTAATTTTAATTATTTTTGTTTCTCGTAAAGGTTTGTAGGAAATTAATCAAAATATATATGATTCTGCCAAGGTTAATTAATTGATTATTTATTTGAATTCCTCTGTTTTCTTCATTTGTTGCAGAATTTTCCTTGTCAAGAAGTTGAAAGGCACAACAAACCGGAAGTAGAACTTAAGTATGTCATATGTGTGTATGCTCATCAATGTTTGGGCTTTCCTCTTTTATTTGGTGTTTTAAATTGGATTTAGCAAATTAATCGGGCCTGTGGAATATTAGCAAAGTGAAAATAGAAATACACACACGAGTGTTGTGTCATGCGCACGAGTTAGGATCAACCATGATCATACCTAGCATTTGTAGAAAAAGGAAAAAGTGAGGATAAAATTTAGAACTAATATATGAAATTCCTCCATGTTTGACTTTTCAGTGGATAGCAAATACTACAAATTATATGCATGCTCTATATGGATTGACCATTATATGCTTTTCAATATTGTCATTTCATCAAGTCCCCGTCATTTTTTTTGGTTGATGGCATCAAATTTGAATATATTCTAGGCCCAGCTATAGGATTGATTACACGTGGAAGATTTTAACATCTGCATTATGTTTTTCAGGACCAGTCCAGAACTTCTACTTAATTCTGTGAGAACTCTTTTTATCGCCAATTTTCCATATGCTGCAGTTTATCTTTTCATGTGTTGTCATTTGTACCAGGATTTATTTTGATTGAATTTTAGCCTGTAATTGGTCCTTCATCCCATATATCTACTACTTTAGAGAACTTCGACGGAATCCAATCAAAAATGATCTTTAATGTTAACGCCAATCTTTGCTGCCATTTGCTTAAACCAGTTAATTGAATTGTTACCACAAAAGAACTATAACGAACCTTTTTCGCTTGCACGAGAAGAGCCTGAAGGAGGGACATGGCAAGATTTAGTAAATTATGAGAAATATTATTTTCATATTTCCTAAACTCATAACACTCATATCCTCACATATTCTCCTTCCCCTTACCAAGATGTACGAATAGATGTAAAGGCACTTGAATCATACAAGATTCTACGTTAGGAAATTTCATATGCTGTTTTTCATTTTGCACCTTAGTATGTTTAATATGAAATGACTTGAAAATGAATGCCTTAGCTTTATCTTGGGGGACGTTGGGTATTGACAAGAATAAATATCAGATGGGATGTAGCTTTTAATGTCACAATTTGTGAGCCTTATTTTGCTTGGACATGGCCGTTTATACTTGAATTTTCCAGAGTACGCTTACTGAGGAACAAGTGGCTCTATTGCTTGGTATGCATAATGACTGATGGCCATACATTATGTAGTCATTTTTACCAATGCTTTAAGATATTTACCTGGTCATAAGTATTCACATTCTACACACGTGGATCTGCCGTCATGACACCATTCGTCTTAAAAAATAAATGAATATGATGCCCACTTTGAGTTTGGGTTGGCTATGAAATTTCGTAGGATGCACCCAAGCCGATTGATGGATTTTAGCTTTGTAGTATGGACACTTCAACTAGGGTAGTCTATTCGTGTCCGACACATCGGATATCGACACTCCTCGTACATTCTGACTTGGTCATTTTTTTATCAGAATTATTATATATTTTTAACTCAAAATTATTATTAAATAACAAACATAAACTTTTATTTAAAAGATTTCGACAAAAAAATTAATAACAAGTATAAAACTAGATATACTATGTAAATAAAGAATTTAATCAGCGTATAGATAATGTGTCATGTCAGTAGTTTTTTGAAAAATAGTGTTGGCGTATATAATATTTGTTGGCCACACGTGTCCGTATCAGTGCTTCATAGGATTTTAGGTACAACAATGACCAAGCTTCATGCTGTAGTATTTTATAAATGCAAATGACCTTTTTCTGGTAAACAGTTTTAGGTTCTTTGCAAATGATTTCCTTCAAGTATTAGCTTTTTATATAGAAAAACTTTTTCTTCACACACTGCATTTAATTGAAGGCAAACTTTCTCTAAACGAAATCCTTTGCGTTTCAAGAAGAACTTGGCACAAATCATCCTAATAGCATTGGGGAAGCGTGATTACTTTGGCAATGTGTTGAGAATGGCCACATTAGATCACAAATTCAACTTCTATTCAGCTATAGTTTAAGAGTACAAGATTCACAGAACTGAAGCTCACAGCAAGATTGCCTTTCTCGACAATATATGTTCTGCAATTTACTGCTAGATATTCCTTCCACTCATTCATAAAGTTAAGGTTTAAATTGTGTGGGGTCTTACTTGTCGGCATGAAGATAATCTTTTGATTTTGTCTAAGTCAAACTCATTATTATTCCTCATGGTCTCTGGACTCTCTACTACCCAAATCCAAAGCTTGGATGAATGTACTGCCAGCAGCGTACAATTCCTTTCTCTGGACTAGCTTGTATTCAAAGTAACTTGATGCATTCTGTCATCATGAGTTTGAGGTAAGGAAGATTGAGGAGGATTTCTAGGAGTTCCCATACGGTGCACACTTTTCTTGTATTCTAATATTTTTTAACAGTTCATTCGAGAAGATTATTGAGGGATGGTTTTGGAGTGATCAATTTTGCCTTACCGAAAACTTGTTGAAGGCCGTCATGCCTCAGATGAAGTCAACCTCTGTGTTGTCTGAATGATCTATGTTTGTTTCAATGACTTCAATTGCCTCGTTAATAGTTGGTGCAAATGGTTTCTTAGATCTTAATACATTTCTTCGTTGATGCCTTGAGCATTCCTTTGTAAAAATTAAAAGAGAAGGTGGCACGATGACTGGTAGATTGGCAACTTGTTGCCGAAACTGAAGAGTATGAATAAAGCACTTAGGTCTCTTATTAGGATCTGTCAGTTAAAAATTGTGAAATGGAATGCTATTAGTATGTTGGAGCCAAGACTGTGAATTTCAGCAAAAACTGGTTGCCACCTCATCCACTTCACTTCTATGTCTAACTGGAGAGAGATTATTAGGTAGAGGGAGGGAGGGAGGTCTAAGAAACAAGAATGTCTTGTGTGTGTATATACTTGTGTGAGATAGCAATGCAAGGGGTTGCAGGATCACGTTCTGAGTTTCTGAAACTGAATTTATGACAACCAATATTTTATTGTATAAAAAATAAGAATTTTATTGTCTTTTAATGCTATTATACCTTAGATGGGCTCTTTCTCCACCCTTATCATCAAAATTGACCTCCAGAAAAACGATGTATTGGCTTTTTCTGCAGGTTAAGATAGAAGCAGGTCATTTGCCCTCAACATCATAGTTTTTGTTTAGTGTACTTCTTTCCACCATTCCTTTCTCCCTAGTACTTGTCATGTTATAATTACACCATTGTTTGCTAAAATTATCTATTTTCCATTGATAGTCATATCTCAATTAAACATGTCAGACTGTATTTGTTTTCTGAAACTGCCATCTCTCAGGTGTTGATCTATATGAATGAGGCTGAGAAATGTTTGATAGAATCATCCATAAATTCTCTGCGGATAAGTCTTAAGGTAAATTCCAGTAATAATGATATATCATATATTGATTGATTTACGTTTTTTGCTTTTAACTGTTTCATCAACTTTACCTCTATGATTTCAGAAAATCTCTGCACTTTACCCATATGATTTCAGAAATCACTTCCCATAATAATCATGCCATGATGAGATGTCTTGTATGCCTAATTATAACTGTATATTACATCTTACAGTTTACTGTCATGTGTTTATGTTTTGAGTCTACCTATAAATTATGTTCTGCATCGTAGTTGTAAAATGATTATCAGGCACCAGCTTATTTAGTTTTATCTGTTTCTTGGGACCACCATAGTGACATTTCCTGATTGTGGGGGGTGTGGTTATTTTTCTGTGTTTTTTCTTTGGAGATGGGGCGGTTTTGTGCTTGTCTTTCTAAAGTGGAGTTTAAGGCATGGTCTATGGGGAAGTGATGCAGGATGGGAGAAGCACGCAGCTAGAAAGGGGGGGAGAAGCCGGAGGAGAAATCAGGGAAGAAGCCGTAGGAGAAATCAGGGGAGAAGAGGGGAAGAGAGGAAACGCGGNCATACCAGTTAAATGTTTTTAGAGTTCGTACTGATAAGTGTCCATGTAACTTATTAAATTATCCAGAGTAGTATTAATTTATAGTATGTGCATCTCACCGTGCATCGCACGGGTGAAATACTAGTAACAATAAAAATTAATTCTCGATTATTGATGTCCGCATCAGGAAGTCAGCGGTGATGATATTAAAATTTGAATTCACAAATGTATTGGAGAAGATGCAACACTGCTAGCTTCAAAGAGCCTAAACTGTTGAGAAGAGATGAGCAGTGTTGGATAAACCTAGCGGCAAGGGACTCTTGGATACTCAAGTTGGTAAAGAGTGTATCTGTTTAGCTAGCTCTTTTGTTAGTGATGTTTCTCAAACTAATTAAATGAAGATAACTAGGAGTGGTTTTATATCACTGAGAACTCAGAACTAATGATTATATACTGAATGTATAGTAGGTATATCCTGTATAATTTTAAGAAAAATGCCACTATAAAAATGCAATATAATCAAACTTCTTTCAACTTACTAAGTCTCAGATCTCTAATTATTTCTGCATGTGTTTTGTGGGATGTTTGTGCCCCCTTGAGCAGCATTTAACAATTTTGAGAGAGATTTAGGTAGGGG